CTACAGTACTACAGTACTACAATACTACAGTACTACAATACTACAGTACTACAGTACTACAGTACTACAGTGCTACAGTACTACAGTACTACAATACTACAGTACTACAATACTACAGTACTACAGTACTACAATACATACACTACTTAATATTATATGATGTTCATCACGTATTTGGTGAGAGTATATCATGAAGACACAACCCAAAATCTACCGAAGTCAATATAATAGTACGAACTAAATTCTCATAAACATAAGCTTACTCTTTATAATATTTGTTCGCATGTCAACAAAACTGTTGTAGCTCACATTCCCTAGAACAGAGCATCTACCTTTGAAATAGCAGTACTAGATAATCATTTTCAGCTTCTATATTGCTATTGGAGCTCCGCTATTAGGTGTTACCTAATTTTTATATTATGTTGGTCAACTCTTTTTGAAGGGTTTGATCTTCGTTGTGACGAACAAATTTCAATACAAATAATTCAAGCTGAATCGAGCCTGCTAACAGACGTTCCTGCTGGAGGGCCGAAAATGGGGAAGAGATAAATCCAGATTTTGCAGGTTGGTTTCGAAGTCGAAATAGCTGAGCTCACTGATGATATTGAAATATCATGTAGGATCCTCACTAACCACATGGACTTCTCTGTAAAAAGGCTTGAAACATTTTGTATCATCTTCAACTTACGTACATGACTCTAATCAACAGGCTCTTTAACGCAACTAGTCTACCACAAAACAGGTTTTCTAGTTTTAGTACATCCTGTAAAACTGAATCAGTGATGGAAAATAGGTTACGAGGAAGGAACACGACCCCGCCCATGAACATGGTATAAAAAGCAGCCTTTTTACCYCAAACCTCATTCCCTGAGTGGAGTTTCAAGTTATCCAGAACTCAACCCGAAATAAAAGCATCTTCAAACCCAACGCGATAGTGAAAATGGTAAGTTACAACTAGATTAGTAGCACGAATTTATTACTTAGATGTGCTTGTGTGTACATGGTACAATGAGTTCTGATTCAAACTACGTCTGTTCCTACGCAGGGTTTATTCTCAGC